TCTCAAGCTGAAGGTAGTACCTACAGCTCCCAGTAGCCATACTAGAATGAAAATATCTGTGATTTCTACTCTGATTTTAAGCTACATGTTGAGTTTGTGTGTTTTAGGAGTATTCAGGATGCAAATGCTCTTTTTTGCCTTATTTCTGGATGTAACCGGAGCATGGATTTCCAGACCATGTTTTTGACCAAACATGGGTTTGTACCAGTGTATCATAACTTTGGTTCTTAGGTAACGTTATGATTCAAAATACAGTCCAGTTAGAATAAGGTAGCTACTAGAAGAGTAGCTTTATGCAACTGTTACTTAGGCACGTATGCCTGAACCAAACCTACAGAGCTCAAATAGGTGCTCTTGAGCTCTCCCATTTGCCTGAACAAACAAGTTTTGTCTGGCACTAAAACTGTCAAATCAGTGCTAAGGTTTTTAGTCTGAAAACAGCAAGGTCTAGAGCTACTCTAAGATACAAATCACAAAGTTATTAATTAAACCGTAAAGAAGATACTAAATTTTGAGCTGAAATAATTACCAACATTTTCTCTGGGGTTCAATATCAAACACTTTTTTTTCAATTAATTAACTGGTATGATACCTTCAATAACACTTCAAAAAAAAGAGATGGTTAAAATTCAACTCAGTTTATTAATAAAGACTTTGACCCTCAAAAGACTAGAACTTAACTTATTAATAGCATGAAGTACATGGCTATCAGCTCTCCTTGCAAAATACTGAATATCCTGCAATAAAGTCTTGTAAAGTAAATATAAGATGACAACTGATTAGAAACCTGTCATCTTGAGCAGAAAGATTTGACGCTTTTTTTAGCTGAATTTCAGGTCTGTTAGTTTCCATAACTACACAAATGAAACCCTTGCATATTTTTCTAAAAAGTGATTGCTATGAGCAAATGAGGGCTGTCATTCGCTTATTAACATGATCTAAAAGTAACACAAAGAATGTAAGCCATTTGATTGGCTAACTTTTTCTTTTGTGAACCAATACCGTGCTGCTTGCTAGACATTTTGAAGGCCTCTGAGGCATCTGCATCAGTCCTGATGGCTTATGAAAAGCAGCTGTTCCTCTGTTCCAGTCATACTCTACTTTCTTTGGCTCATCACTAGTCTCCCAACCCCAATGAATATCTCACTAATCAGAATGACTGAACATAAGCTGCAAGAGTATTAGAAGCAGTCTGACTTTGACAATATTCATTTGATATAACCTGTCAGTCTGCAAGACAAATCACATTGAGGGTTTCATGACTTTAACCCCTCAAACTTTGTCAGAGAACTTAATGCTATCAGTCAGGATGTACATTTAAGCCTCCATAACTATCATTAATTCAATTACTTGCAGGCACTGTAATGCCAGTATTTATTTGATATAAAAAAAAAAAAAAACAAACCATGTTCAGCAAAAATACTCAGACTTAATTTCCCTGGCTGAAACATACACCATTATGATCTTCCAGACAGTCCCTTAAATGCATAAATTGAAGAGTTTCCCCCTCATAGAAGAAATACAGACATATGTTTTCTAGAAAATAGCATGGTTTAATCTCCAAGCGATGCCAAATTTCTTATGTTCCCCTATTAAACAGTTACTTTAATTACCCATACTCTTCCTCTTCAGAGAACCTTGCTTCGTCTTTTCTTTGTGTACCAGAAGCTCACAAAACTAAAAAAAATCCCTATCATATAAGTATACTTATTGCAATATCCTTTCCCTTTTCTGTATACTTTCTTACTTAATGAGGAAATTCCTGTCTTCTAAAGAGTAATCATACCTGAAAAAGGTTCAATTGTAACATTTCCCTAGGTTAACAGAAAGATTTAACCTGATAAGTTCTGTCAGAAATGCAGGGCATTTTTGCAGGCTTTAAAAAACATTTATAAACAGATAAAGATAAAATTGCTAGCTGCAGTTTTATTTCTAAAAGAACACAAGATCTTTAGAACATCTTTTTCCACTAAAAACAATGTTTTTCTCCCATTTAAGGAAAAATAATCATCTCAGCAATCCATTTTATCATACAAATCCAAAAGTATCTTCTTGACTTTTTTTTTTACACTTTTAGCTGCACAAATTGTTATTCCTATTTTTTCTTAGACCTTTGTTGTTTCTGAGCTAAACCATGCCACTACAATAGTTTATGACAAACAATAGAACTTAACTGTCTGCAGCTCTCTAATATTGTTCTCTACTGCCAAGTTTAAGAAAAAAAAAAACAAACAAGTAGCTTGATCCCTGGTTAGCCTGGAACTCTTATTACACTATTACAATACTTAGACAATAATGGGCTTACTATAGATACTAATTTATGAAACGCATACTATTATGCTATCTGAACACTTTACCACGCCTACAAATTAATTAATAGATAATTAATTCAAAACCCAATAACCTGACCTTTATTATAATTTCCAATTCCCCTAAGGTTTTTCTGTTCTAAATAACACAGTAAATTTTGCTAGTGGACTTTAGCATGTGTTTGATTATTATAGAATCATTAAGGTTTGAAGAGACCTATAAGATCAGCAAGTCCAACCATCAGCCCAACATTACCATGACCACCAAACCATGTCCCAGAGTATTATGTTCTTTTACCATACCCTAACAGGAATTGTCATCAATAAGCAATATACAGGCCATATCCCTCCCTCCAATTCCAAATCACACATGAGGGATATGAGGTGGTCAACCACTAGAGGAATGAAAAGGTTGATATATTCACTCACAGAGCAAGATGCAGTGAACACAGGAGCAAACTGATCAAGGAACCAGGTGACCAGTCCAACTCCAATTGCATAGCCATGACGATAAAACAGTGCCACTATTATAGATGTATGTCTCCCTCCATTCCCAGCCATGTTGGTGTCCCACCATCACTGGAAGCTCTGGCCACAATAGATGGTTGGAAGGCCCATCCAGTAACCAGAAATCCCACATAACATATTCACTACACAGACTAAAACCACCATTCACTACAGGCAGAGCCAGCCTTTACCCAGCCTTAACCTTTAGCCAGCTGTTAACTTTAGAGGCAGGGAACCTGTTAGTGATCTCCTAATTGGTTCCCACCTGAGGTTGGTCAGGCCCTGGGTGAAAACTAATCATAAAGGTCTTTCCTGCCTGGTTGTGGACATCATATGTCAAACCTTACTCAGGGCTGGGGTTCAGACCCCAGCACTTCACGTGTCCACACATTTTTTGAATACCTCCAGGGATTGTGATTCCACCATATCCCTGGGCAGCCTGATCCAATGCTTCACTACTCTTTCAGTAAAGAAATAATATTCTAATATCCAATATAAAACTCCCCTAGTGTAACTTAAGCCCATTTCCTCTCATCCTATTGCAAGTTACTTGGAAGAAGAGACCAACACCCACCTCATAACAATCAGGTCACTCTGCACAGAGCAGGCAAACAGAGTGAGGCCCATCAACCAAAACATGTGCAGCTGTTTGTGTGGCAGGGAGATGAAGCTCTGGCAGCTGAAAAGGTCAAGTGTACTCATCCTCATTGACCTCTGAGGCAGAATGTTGGGTATTCATCACACATCAAAAGCTGCAGCACTGGCTGAAAGATATTCATCATCTATCCCAGAGGTGACATCCACCCAGGTGGAGCTGCTGAAGGGAGAGGCTGCCATGCAAGACTCAGACTCTGGGAAGTGCCTAGACCTTTCTCCTGGGGCATGTATGGGTGGCAAACCTGCCTGCAAAAGGTGTGCCCAGATGGATGACCTCCTGTAGCAGGTGGCTGAACTGCAGTAGACCGTCAAAAGGCTGCCTACCAACAGAGAGGCAGAAAAGGAGATTGATAGTTGGATCCAAGGGCAATCTGCAATCAGCTCACAGCCTATGGCAAAACAACCAAAAACTCCTCCACCAGCATACCCAGATAGAGGAGAAGCCAAAAATGCTGAGGAATGGAAACTTCATTTGATAATGAATTCCAGTCAGTAAGCTAGCTGCAGTGGTGGCCCAACTTAAATGCCTATATGCAAATACACTGAGCATGGAGAACAAACGAGAAGAGTTACAGATGTGTGCACACCTATGGAGCTATGATGTTATCAGGATCACTGAGACATGTCAGAATGTCTACTATGACTGTAGTGTGGGAGTGGATGGGTACAAGCTCTTTTGGAAAGACAGGCAGAGGAAAAGTAGAGGGAGTATTGCCCTCTACATCAATGATCAGCTGGAATCCATGGAGCTTGGCCTAGGGATGGATAAGGAGATGACCAAGAGCTTATGGGTCAAATTTAAAGGGAAGGTAGAGGAAGGTCATATCATAGTAGGGGGTCTGCTACAGGCCAGTAACCAGGAATTCAAAATCCTTAGGGCAACAAGGAGGATACACAGCAAGCTTATTGCCCTGGATTTCAGAGAGCAGACTTAGAGCTCTTCAGGGATCTGCTTGGCAGAGTACCACAGGATAAAGCCCTGCTGGTGAGAGGAGCTCAGGAAAGCTGGTCAAGGAACATCTCCACCAAGCTCAGGATCAATGCATCCCAAAAAAGAGGAAGGCAGGCAG